AATTGCGATCGTTTAAATTCAAATAATTTAAATGTTGCTGGGTATTCCCCGTATAAAATCAATCATGTAATCCAAATATTAAAAATTTATAGTATATTATAGAAAGTAAAATATTTAAATTATACTTAATTTTTTAATTCTGTATGATGAGGCACTGCCTCACCTGCCTCCCCTGACGGGCCGCCACTGGCTGCAATGGCATGTTGCATTTCGATTTTTATTTTAGCATATACAGGGTGCAAAAGTACACTGTAGTTCTATCTTTACCTAACATTTTGTTTTTTTATTCGCATTATTATTCCTATTATCAGGGCCGGATTAAGAGTTTTGAGGCCCTGGGGCCGACATTTGGTGGGGGCCCTCAATATTTTTAAAAAATTGTTAATAAACCATATAAATTTTTAATAAAATCGGCCAAAGCGTTTTTAAGCTATAAATAAAAAACTAATTTTTTTTAAACGAAAAACCCTGTATCTCAATAATAAAGCATTTTCAGACACGTGTTTATAGGAACTTTTTTCATATATTGATGAGAGGAATTTCCCCTGAGCTTTTGTCACCACAAGTCTGAATATATTTTGAATAATACGAACATAACCATATACATTTTACCCAAGTCTAAGAAATTATTAATTCGTATGCAAAACTATAAAAACGTAGATAGTAGAATAGAATTGTGAATGAAAGTGTTTTTATATACCTACTCAAGTAAAATATAAATTGATCTATGTTTTGTTTGTATTTTTAATCTTACCGCAAACTGAAAAAAAGTGCATCAAAAGTCGTATTATTTGTCTGTTTTTCATACAAAATCATTAATAATAAAACAATGTTTTGTCCAAAGAAAAGCACGAAACATTATTTCGGAAACACCGGAAAATATTCCACAACACTCCAATGTACCAATAAAAATCTGGGACAAAAACTTTAATATTAGATTATAAGTAATTGACTGTTTGCCTGTATTTACAAAAACGTTACGAAAAGCACTAAAGGAGCAATTGTTTTGAGTCATTACATCCTGATATGCGAACGGATAAGCGATAAAAAATCCGCGAAAAATTAGAGTTAGATCTACGAAAAATTAATTGAAAATTACAGAATTCGCGCGGTATAACCGACCCAATTTTTTGTTTTTTTCGCTAATTTTTTTCATATTCGTTTCATTAAAAAGCTACATATTGCATTGGTGGGGGCCCCTAAATGGTGGGGGCCCTGGGGCCGTGGCCCCGCTGGCCCTGTCCTAAATCCGGCCCTGCCTATTATTAACGAAGATGCACAGTTTTAAAGGCAAATTACTTTTTAATTATTTTGTATTTGTCTAAAGATTTTTTAAAAATTTTTGCATATGAATTTTTAAATTGAACATATTAATTGTAACACATTGTTAGTTATGTTATGAAAAAAATGTTATCAATATTTCTTTCTTAAAAAACTTCAATCGTAAAAAATTATATTATAAAGAAATGAAAAAAATGCTTTGAAACCCCCAAAGGTAAACAATAATGTTCCAACAATAAAGCAGTAAATGTAGAAGCATTTATAAGGTGTATTGTGTGTGAAAATTTAATTTTCATATATTTACATACATATTATAAAAAATTCAACATCAAGATAGGTATAAAAATTTAAATATTAATATATTATTATTAGTATAATATTTAAAATAAAAACATGAATTATTTTTTATAGTAAATTATGTGTCAAGTTTAATAAACGCCAATTTTAATTAGCCACAAGCTTGCTAGCGAGTGTTTAATTAAATTAGTGTCTAGAAAAGTTTATATCGAGATGTATCCCTTGAAAATGGATCGGTATAGAAGCAGTTTTTTACACCTGAAATTAGGCTAAATCTAGTTTACTGGCGGCGAAATCAAAAGTATAGCGTGTATTAAACTTTTTAGATATTGGCGCTAAGAAAATATTAATGCTTTTGTATTGAGATATACATAACAAAATAATTTAAACATAATTGTTTATTTTAATATTAACCAATGTAATACATTTTATTTAAATGAATCATTTATATAGTTGCAGTATTTTCAATAATTTGTCCAAATTTATTATTCATCAGTAGTTTACGATGTTACGAATTTCATATGCTGTTATTTTGTATGCATTATGTTTTGTTTATTATTCTTATTCAGGTGAGTTTGCACCCTGAAAACTTAATTTATTTTTATTTATCGACATTACATTTTTAATTGAATATATTTTGACGCTAATAAAATTTTAGTACCTACCTATGTATATGGGCATGTTTTTAGACAGGTTTAATTAACAATCAAAATTCATCAAATTATGTCATATGATCTTACTACCCTGATGATATAAATTATCATTGATTTTCCTCATGTTCCATTATATGTACATATATTACTTTGTAAAGGTATTTACAGTAACGGGTCCAATGTAATGTAGAATTAAAAAAAAAGTTTACAAATATCGATTGAAATTATAAAAAATTTTATCTTGAGAAGTAATTAGAAGTAGCTTAAGCTACTTTAATATGTTTACTGAACGAATTATTGTCTTGTAAGACGCAAGCCGTAAAATAATTCGTAAACGTCAACCAATCATATGGACATATCAAGCACTGTGATTGGTTAACGTAAGACGTAAGCTGTCAAAGATAGATTCAGTGACCAATCGTAGGTAATAAATGATTTTTTTGAGGTGGGTGGTAAATTCAATTCTCGGACATGCGCAAAAGATTCCAAGGACGATAAAAAGAGACAGAAGCTCCGTAAAATCACAATTATTATAATTTATATATATATATTATATTATTTACGTATTCTTTCTTACAGAATGCATCGAAGGAGAAGTTTGGTTTAAATACTGTGAATCCTGCAAATGCCTGAATAAAACATCGATTTGTAAGCCAAATAAATGCATGCAACGTAAGTAGGCTTCTTTTCTATTCAAAATTCGAGGTTAAATTACACCACTGGGTATATTTTTTTCGAAAAACTCGTTACGTCATCTGAAGCAACCACTATGTCCCATACAAATCCTTTTTAAATTGTTTGAATATCTTTTGCACAATTCAAGAAACTGTTTCAATCATAAATTTCTCGGAAAGATATTGAAAGGATTCGTAGGATAACGACTGGTATTTTTTGCGAAAAGAAAGTTGAATTCGTCGAAATATGACACGATCAATTATAATTATCAAAAATCTGTATTACAGAAATATGTTTACCGGGAACAACATGGTTTGGAGACGATTATAGATGTCACTGCAGTAAAAATTACGAACTTGTTTGCGTTAACTTGGGATTTCAACCAGGTATACAATGAGGATTTTTAACTTGTTTCCTTTGATATATTTTCATTTTTAGAATTAAATAAAAAACCTTGTAAGGACGAGTCCTATTTTTACAATACAAATACGTATTGTCGGTGTGTCAATGGCTATACTAAGTGTTCCGAAATTAAGGGAATTTCCGAAACTACCACTGGTAAGTTTTGGCACAAGTTTTTTATAATTTTTTTTAATACCGAAATATTCAAGGGTATTGTGAAGAAGGGGAGATGATAATAGATAATTGTTATGAATGTACCTGTACCAAAACAATGTTTAGAATTTGTATATTAAACAGAACATGCCTGGATTCAGTTGGTAGGTACCTATAAACTAATGCACAGAGGTTAGTTAAAATTTATTGGCCCCACAAACCGTTCTGCATTGACCTTTTTTATTTATTAATATTCACTTTTTAGCTTCAAAACCAGGCAGATGCGTTAAAATAGAGAGTTTTTACTCACCAATGGAGAGATTTATTTGCATCAGGATCAGAAAACAGGAGTGCTATTCAGATTATGGTTGCCCAGAAGATTACAAATGTTGTTTGGTAACTGACTGTTACTATAGGTGTATGGAACCAAATCCAAAATTTGATATTTTTGATTAAAATAAAAAAATATTTTTTTTGGGTATTTCTTAAAATTTTATGTAATTAATTAACAGAAAATAGTATACAGTGATTAGGAAAAGTATGAAACAAATAAAAAAAGGTGCCTTTTTCCAAAAAAAATCCTTGAATTTTGCTTCTCTTTTAACTTTTTGCACTTTTTTGCATTTTTTTTTACTTTTAGGTTGAATCTCACGAAATATCCCCCGATGGTGTTACCCCGTGATATTTAATAAAACTAAATGAGTTTGACCTACACTTTTATTGTTTTTTGATCTTTCATAATTAAGTGGATATGACAGCTCAGGTTCCAGATTTTTAACCGCAATTAATTATTTTTTACAATGTTTTAAAAGTCTAAAACCTATCCTCTGTGACTGATATTCTTTAACTCTAGGTTAACCTATATGTTTTCAAATATACATACTAAAAATATCAGATCACCAAGTAAATTAAACACATCCAAAGCAATCGAATCAAATATCAAATATTTTTAAAAATTAAAAGAAATAATTTTTTATAGCCATTTATGTAGGTGTTACAAAAATTGATTCTATCCTCCGTGAATATGTTTTTTCCTTAAATTTTGTGCAACGAATGGCGCTTTAATCATTTTAAATAAGCAAAAACCTCTGTTTACGACATTATAGATGCATGTGATTCCTGAAGGTCAGTTAGAATTTATATGCAGATGAGAGTGTTGTTGTTTTATAATTCAAAAGTTTAATTTCATTAATTTGTATTTTTTTAAAATATTAAAGTGTCAAAAGATACAATAACTTATTTCAAATATACAAAGGGATGTTTAAAAAAACATACAAAATCCTAACCTCCGTGAAGCTATCTTCCGTGAAGCTCTAATATTCAAAATGTATGATTTCTTAAAATTCATGCATTAGTGCAGAACCACTTATGTTATGTTATTACTAGACCTGATGGCTTCCCAAAAACCCCATTCTAGAGTAACAGTGAAACAACCAAAAATAAAAAATAATCATTTTCACTTGGGGGACATCTCAATATATTCACACTTTAGATAGTTGGTATTTTTTTTAAATAATATTGTAAATAAAACACCGTTTTGGGTATATATTAAATGTCTTTAATCAACAAAAAACAATAAATACAATACAGTTATAATGAATATACACAATACCTCTTACACAGTTAAATTCACCCAACCTAGGTTGCCTACCTATCGCATTATTCGACACTTTCACTTTATTTACAAAAGTACAGCAAAGAACAAATAGAAAAACGCATTACTACAGTCCAAAGTTGCACAAAAGCTTTATAGTTTTTTACTATTAATAATAATAATAATAAAAATAATAATTTTACCAAACTTTAGACCATTAACCTTAACCTAAAATCTTGACAGAGCATTGGTTGATGGTCTAAGTAATTTATGCTTATATAATAATGGTTATAAAATTAGAAGATAAATATAAACCAAATTAAATTAATAGTTTTGTATCACCATCTAACTAATTAATTGACTAAAAAAAACTAAAATGAGATTAAATTGCACGTATGAGTAATATTTAGCAAATATTTTGTAATATATATATGGAAAATTATTTTTTTATATTAATTTATTTATTTAACTGAGATCAGTAGCGTAGATGTAGCCTTGTTGTTGAAGAACGAACAAACGTTTCTCTACGGCATCTTTATCTAAAATAAAAAAAATACGCCAACTGCAATTTTTCCCCTCAAACCTCAAACAACTTACATTTGGTAAGAAGCATCCTATCTTGTTGATTGTGGACATGTTGGGATAGGCTGTGCAAAAGTATTTGCGCCGTTTGGTACCTTTGGAAGCATTCCTCCGGGTTACCGAAAAGTTCGTCCAAAGCTGCCGATTGACACTAAAATTTAACTCATTGTCGAACATTATCAAAAAAAAGTTATATATCATACCATTTGTATGGCATGATTGTAAAGAATCTTGTCCGCGGTTATGTTTGTAGATCCCAGTTTATTCAACAAGCCGGTGCTGTTGAGTTGCTTGCACTCGTTCAAAGTCGTCCGGAATTTGGTGTTTAACGTCGAAATAACTAAAAAATATACACTTTCCGTCAAAAGTTCCGCCATGTTTTTGAGCCTCACCATTTTTGACCGTGTTGCTGGGCCTCAGCTGCCCGGATTTGAGCTGCGTGCAGGCCAAATCCAGGCCGGAACCCAACAGTTGCATGGCTCTCACCAATAGCACTAGCTGCTCGGCTCTGCGTCCCATTTCGCTTTGCGGATGGTTCTGCTGAGCCGGATCGACCAGAGCCGCGATGGGGGTGGCCCTTTGAGCCGCCAGATCCAGCACGCAGTTGCTCAGGGCCAACACGAAGTTCACCTTGGCCAAGGTCTCGTTGTGCTCTTTCTGCAGCATCACAAAAAACACAAAAATAAGACTTCCGCAATGGTGTTTAAAAATACACCTCAATATCGTTATCAGCGACCCTAAAAACCCTGTATTCAAAATTTGAGGACTCTAGGGTATCAGCTTCAACTTCTTGATTTCTAGTGTTCAGCAGTTATATAGGAAGTTGTGAAAGTTTGGGTGTAGATTATCGTAAGGATAAACCTCTGAATTTAAATTAACTTTAACATTTTTTAGACGGCAGTGATCAAACATGCTGCAATCCTAATCTGCTAGATTGTTTCTATTTGTGTTTGGAATCCAAATATAATGTATCCTCGAAACGAAAGAGTCAAGTCTCTACCCTTGTCAATGACTGATAACAACTGTAAGTTTGACTCATGTCCATTTAAGCTATCGAGGCGGCTAAAGCTGTATATAACTTTTTTTTATTCAACTAGCAACTCATAGTACTTACAAGACTCCTTTGGACCCCAAGATGGAAAATCATAAAAATAAATAGCACTACATACCTCGAGCAAGGTTTCCTCGTTCAGCTCCGGAGCCAGAAAGGTGATGGGATGGTTTTCGTTGTTGGAAGCCGAATCGCCGAAAAAGGCGTGATAGTTTCCCATTTCGGAGATTTCCGGCAGCGTAACGGCCCTGGTGCAGAACGGCACCACCGGCGACTTGCCCAAGTTGTTGTTGTCGCTCAAGTTCGGGCTGCTCAGCATCGGCACCCTGGCCAACGGGCCGCTGAGGATCGGGGGGGACGTGCCCGATCTTCTCAGGGGGGAGTTCATCGGCGCGGTTCGCGCAGAGGTGGGCGAGACGGTCCAGATGTTGGGGGGCGGGGGGGTTTCGCACAGGCTGCTAGAGGTCGATCGCCTACGACCGCCAGGTGGCGTACCGATCACAAACTGTACCTGCGACAAGATTGACTATTATTGCAGTCGCGGAAAATGTGAAACGCTTCGGTGGTGGGGATAAGTGAGAGTGGGGACGAGATACCATAAAATAAATAAAACTCATTATATAATAATTTTTTTATATAACACTTACCGAAGGTGGAGACAGAGAACTAATATCGATGTCGTTGATTTTCTTTTCCGGTCTCTTCATTGTAATGGGTTGCGATCTAGGCACGCTACTATTAGTAGGTTGCCGCTAAAACAAACAACAAAAAAAACTACATAAAACAAAAATGAAAACATGTTTTCTTACGGTGGTCGGCGAAGCAGGCTCCTCCTTCTTATCCGATTCGCTGTAGGTCCTCTGGTAGTGCGATCTTCTGGTGGGTACGGGAATCGGCTCCGAAATGGGCAGAAAACTGGGCCTTGTGGGACTCCCGATGGGCACCGCCGTGGGTGAGGATTTTTGCGGCAACTTCAACGACCTGAGAACAAAATGTTGGTAATCACGAAATTCTAAAACGTAAACTCGACGTTGCACGTGAAAGTTCACTTACGTAGGTTTCTCTTTTTCGGCGGTTTCCGCTGCCGGCTGCACCTCTGTGGTTTGGATGTTTTGGGGAACTATAACATAATCGTCATCGTCTTCGTTTGACGTACTTAGTGCGTTTCTTGTAGATCGAGGCGATTCTACAAGGGGACAAGCGTTGATGCATAACCGAAACCGGCCTTTCGTGTTTTAATAGGTTTAATTGCAAAAATGCTAAGCTAATAATTATTGTTTGTACCGGACTGAGGGAAAGATTGGTTTAGATTGATAATAACATATTGGGATCTGTCAGATGGGAGGAGGCCTTGACCTAAAATGTCAAGATCAGGAACTAGACCAACAACCAGTTCCAAGACAGTGAAAGACCTTTATGCGTCTGGCATACAATACAGGGTGTTATGTAATTAATGTAATATATTAAAATGGGTAGTTCCTTAGTCCTCAGTCTATAAAGAAGCACCAACAATTTTTTTTTTAATTCCAAAGACTAAAAATAATTTATAATAAGCTTTATACTACCAAAAAGTACGCCACTGATCGACTTTAGGCTAATATGGTTGCCAAATTTAATTTATTATGTTATGGTTGGTAACAACAAGATTCTATCAAAAAAAAGTTGCCAGATTTTGTTTAAATTTAGCTTAATTACAAAAATGACAAAATCAACAATGCAAATTGTTAATTTGGCGTTTTTATTAATTTTTGATTATGTCATTTTTGTAATGAAGGTCAATTCAAACAAAATCTGGCAACCTTTATGGCAGAATCTAGTGCATTTCTTTCAAATTTTAGGTTATGTGCTCAATTTGTAAATTTCTTAACTAAGGGAAGTGCTTTTGGATTTATTTACACGAATTTAATGTTTAAAGTTTAACCTGTGAACTTGTCCTAATTTCATCCGAGTAAACAGAAAGAAAAAAAACAATAAAAAATTAATTTTGTTGTTATAAAGTTTTTAAAATAGGTACTAATTTTTCTAATTATTGCTTAACTAATAGCTGGATGAGTAAATAAATACAGAGGGGTATTAGAGCTTTAAGGGCATAACTCTTTTGTATTTATTAAGTTTTTATGTATGTTTTGCAAGAAACATTTTTAGTAACAATGTTTTACAACTGGAAACGCGCAGCTAGTTTGTTGGTTAGTATCTATGTACTCACAGAACACAAGTTTTTCCGTTACACCTTATTTCAAAAGGTATTCAGTATTTTAATATATTACATTAATTTATATAACACCCTGTATTACTAAGAAAACTTTACTTTTATAACTTCTACCCTCTCAGCTGCAGACTAATCTCATCAATGGTATTCTATCATCCGAACTTCCAATTGTACATGGCGTTCCGCAGGGTTCTATTTTGGGCCCAATATTATTTTTACTTTACATTAACGACATCTCCGATAACATTTTAAACATAAACGGATTGCAGAAGATACATCGTCTCGTTTTATATCTCACAGTCAGTTACATACATATAGTACAAGAAATATCTTAAATATTTGTCATTTACTTCTAAGATTATGTAGAATATCCTATGGCTTCAACTATTATTTAATAAAACTAGCTATTGTACACTTTTTAATGTTTATCGACATTTTTAATAAAACAAATGTTTGGCAAAATTTGTTGACAGATCCCAATAGAAATAATTATTCAAACTGTACATGCAATGAAATAGGTGAAAGAATGAAAAGTACATACCTGGTTGAGAAATTGGAGGAGTTGCTACTTTAACAGGTGGTGTAGTTCTTAAAGGAACTTTGCTGGATCCGTAAATATTCGGGAAGGGTAGTTCTAAAAACACAATTTGTATATGCAAAGATATTTTTTTTTGGCAAAAATACCTGTTTGCAGTGGACTCTGAACGGCCGGTTCGGGTCGTTGCAAAAATTTATGGTTGAAGAATGTTTCAAAGTTCATTCTATCTTTGGCGTTTCTCTTCAGCAAACCCTGCAATAGGTCGCTTAGTTCTGGACTCGTTTGTGGTGGTATCCTGTAACATAAAACGCAATGGTAAAACCCCCCAATAAATATGTATGGGAGATCTTACTTTGGCGCCAAATTGGCATTTTTTTCGTAGAACTGCTTAAGTTGTTGCGGCGTGTTGGCTTGAAACGGGGCTTTCCCTATTAAACATTGAAAAACGATGGTTCCCAAGCTCCACAAATCCGCTTTCGCGTCGTATTGGAGGGACATGATGACCTCGGGCGCCTAAACAAAGTAAAATTAACCCTGAACCCCCATTAAACAGGGGTGACCAAACTTACCATGTACATAGGGCTTCCGCACAGAGTAGCGGCCATAACGCCATCTTGCAGAAACCTAGCGAACCCGAAATCAGCTATAAAATAGGTTTTTATTATTACCGTGGACAACCCAAATTTGCACTAAAAACGTACCAATTTTTAGCTTGATTTCCGAAGGTTGCGGGTACAATTTGGCACCACTGTGAGATAAAAGTATGTTTTGGGGCTTCAAATCTCTGTGCACGATGCCTTTCGCGTATAGAGCCTTCATAGCACCGGCTGTAATAAAGTTATAAGTATTTAAAATGCAAAAAAAAAAATTATTTGTAACATACCCAATTGTATCAAAAATAGACGTATTGTATCCTCACTGAGAGTACCTTTGGCTAAAATTAAGTAAATAGTTAACTACAACTAACACAATATGATCCAATCTATACTTACTTCCCAAATAGTCCGCCAAGTCACCTCCATTGCAATACTGTAAGTATATATTAATTTTTTATTTTTATAGTAAAAAAAATATTTTATTTATAATAATTATGTGAAAAATAATTAATTTTTGTTTTCATTCACAGAGTTAAAAATAGAAATGGAAGTATGGCAAATAACTAATCAAATAAGCGTAATCTAGGTACCTTGATATGTTCTTATCTTATCTATCAAATTTTTCGACACATCTAGATCGTTCAGGTTTTAATATTTAGTTTGGCGTATCAGTTATACGGAACTTTGCCGGAAAACACAACATGAAATATACACTATTTTTGTTTGTTATTATTGGGTGAGTCATTTTAAATGTTTTTTTAAAATACCATAAATCAATATAACAATTATATTGAGGATTACATTTTATTTATTTTCTTCTCAAAATTTTAATTAATAAACAATTATTTTTAGTGGTGTGATTTCACAAGATGTAGATGTGTCTGGTATATCCCTAGGTCAGGATGAAATGGTGAGTTTTTAATTTTAACTATTTTATACATTAATATATTAATGCACATTTGCAAAATTGGGTTTGTAAAGTTGTCAGGCGTTATAACATATAACATGACGCGTTTTTATTTGTTCAACGATAAGATTGGTTTCTAAATATTTAAACATCATCCCATTTTTTATTAATTTTTATTTACTAATAATTTATAGACACTGATGATACAGATGAGAATTAGTTTGAACTTAAAAAACACATTTTTTAGGATGTTGATATTTGGAGTGACGCAGAAAAAATTTACACAATTACCGTAGACAATATTGACGATGAAATCATCGACAAGATATGCAAAAACAACAATATTATCATACAAGATAGATTATCCAACGAAAAAATTGATTGTCGACAACGAAGATGGAATTTGGAACCTTTGGAGGTCAAAAATATTAAAAAAAGAAACGTAGATAGTGAACAAGAAGGATCAGGTAAATTAGGATCTTTAAAAACATCGTGAAAAAAACTTAAAATTATTATTGATAATTTCAGGTGTTGATCCACATGAAGAGAAAGCTCCAGATGAAGCTAAAATTACGACAACAAAAGTTGAAACTGAAGAACAAAAAGATGACACTAATACTAGTACCCCCACAATAATAGTTTCTAAAGCTGAAGAAATTCAGACTTCAACAGCTGCAATTGTAACTGAAAAACCTACAACTACAGAAATCGAAAATTCTCCTACAACAATATCTGAAACTGAAAAACCTCTTCAAACAATATCTGAAACTGAAAAACCTCTTCTAACAACATCTGAAACTGAAAAACCTGCACCCACAATAAATGATATCACAACTGAAGGAAAAGATAAAGAATTCAACGGTTTTATTAAAAAAGGGCGAAAAATCGAGGATATGAACGATTACCAAGGAAACGGTGTTGCAATTAGCGAAACTCATGGTAATATTGAAGATGGTTTTAAAGAAACTGGACCCAAACTGCTAAAAACATCAAAACCTGAGAATATTCTTCAAGAAACTGAAAACACCCCAAAAGTAGGGGCAGCTTCAGCTGCAAAAGACTCCAACATCCTATTCTTTTTACTAGGAGGGGTAGTACTTGTGGGAGTTACAGCTTTTACGTATAACTACGTTAAAAAGCGAAAATTAAATCAACCGTCGAGCGAAGCAACAGTCGAAGCTCCTAAAGAAAGAAGAGAGCAAGAAATGAAACCCCTCCTAAATGGAAAAACGGTGGATGACCTCCCCACTACCCCCACCATCGCCATTAAAGATGAAACCACAAATGAAGAACCTGGCACAAGTGCAAACGCCAAGTGTTAAAGTGTTGTGTCTAACAACAAACTTTTCGAATACATTTTAGGCCAAATTACCAACAAATTTTACTATAATTATAATTTATTTAACAAAAAACAAAGAAATGTAGTTTATTGATATTTCTTATTGCACAGCTATTTGTATGTTTATTTTAGACTTAATAAATATTTGAAATAAAATAAATTATAACTTATTTAAATACTTTTAAATTCTCTTGGTTCCAAACACTTTCAATAAAATTTCAATAAAGGATAGAAAATAACTTTTTAATTAACATTGTTTTGATTTTTTGACAGCAACTGTCAAAATTTTTATTGTTTCCATAGCAACCTTTGATAAATTTGTAATATTTCACTGTGATGCCAATCTTTTTTTTAATTGACATTGTTTTGATTATTTGACAGCAACTGTCAAAATTTTCATTGTTTCCATAGCAACATTTAATAAATTTGTAATATTTCACTCAGTGTTGACAATCTTTTTTTTAATTGACATTGTTTTGATTTTTTGACAGCAACTGTCAAAATTTTCATTGTTTCCATAGCAACATTTAATAAATTTGTAATATTTCACTCAGTGTTGCCAATCTTTTTTTGGATTGACATTTTTTGATTTTTTGACAGCCACTGTCAAAATTTTTATTGTTTCCATGGCAACCTTTGATAAATTTGTAATATTTCACTCAGTGTTACCAATCTTTTTTTTAATTGACATTGTTATGATTTTTTGACAGCAACTGTCAAAATTTTCATTGTTTTCATAGCAACATTTAATAAATTTGTAATATTTCACTTAGTGTTGCCAAACTTTTTTTTTAATTGACATTGTTTTGATTTTTTGACAGCGACTGTCAAAATTCTCATTTTTTCCATAGAAAAATTTAATAAATTTGTAATATTTCACTCAGTGTTGCCAATCTTTTTTAATTGACATTTTTTGATTTTTTGACAGCAACTGTCAAAATTTTTATTGTTTCCATAGCAACCTTTGATAAATTTGTAATATTTTACTCAGTGTTCCCAATCTTTATTTTAATTGACATTGTTTTGATTTCTTGACAGCAACTGTAAAAATATGTATTGTTTCCATAGCAACCTTTCATAAATTTGTAATATTTCACTCAGTGTTGTCAAACTTTTTTTTAATTGACATTGTTATGATTTTTTGACAGTAACTGTCAAAATTTTCATTGTTTCCATAGCAACTTTGGGTAAAATTGTAATATTTCACTCAGTGTTGCCAATCTATTTTTGTTTGTAATTTTTGGTTCCTAAATTAAAATTACCCAAGTTGAACATGGTTTACTCACCTCCATAACAAGATAAACATTGTTTGCAGATTCTTTGCAGTCCAAAAGGGCAACTACATTTTCATGGTGAAGTTCCGTTAATTCCTGAAGAAAACATTAACTTAAATTTGTAATTTGTATTTGGGAATAAACAAAGACTTGCCTTCAAAATTTTGATTTCCTTCCCGAGGAGATTTTGAGATTTTGCAAGGCTCTTTTTTGTGATGCTTTTGATGGCAACTGTCAAATTTGGACTCTGCAAACAAACAACACAATAATTTGTTATTATTTTTTTGAGAGTTTACTGACCTTCTTATGCCTCCCTTTAAAAACCACTGCAAAAGCCCCATGTCCTATGAGGTCTTTGCTGTTGTACTCGTAATCGCCTATGCTCTCCATTTTTACGCAAATTTTAATGCGCTTAGTATGCTAATATTTAGAACAATGCATTCGTTTAGTCCTACACAAACACTACAGCTATTATAATATAAGGCGCAGTAAAATATTACAGATCCATTATTTCCTACATGTTTGCGGACAGCACTTAACGCTTTTTTTCTACTAATAACGGTTTTAACGCGACAAAATGAGTTTATTTCGTATGATTTTAGCACATTTTAGCTTTCAACTAGTACTGTCAAATTATTACCAAAATATTGAATGATTGTGAGTTAGTAGCGACATCTATCGGATCAAAAGTTAAACTGTTAGTATAGCAATCCTGCCATAGATGTCGCACCTATAAAAAAGAACTAAAAATGCCCAAAAACTGTATAAAATGACTCAAAACTATCAAAAATTACCCAAATTGTGTGTCAAAGATGAAGCCAAATTTAATAAAACCGTCCAAGATGACCCTAATTTTATTAGAACTGGTTAAAAATGTGGCAGCTGTGGTGTTTTGTGGGTTGCCTACCATAAAATACTTTACAGTCTTGGACTTTTTGCTCTTTTTATTGTTTGGAACTTGTCATTACAACTAAAAATATCTTTATAATCTGTGAATGTCTCAAAGCTGCATAAACAATTCAAAACTACAGTTAATTTTTTTTTATTTGGACTGGATTTAGTATTTAAAAAATGGTACTTCTGCTGAAGACCTTAATTAAAAACTCTGGCACTGTCAAATTGACAGTAATATTTATTATTGATAATTTACTTAATGTATAATATCGATATAACTATGCCAAAAATAATAGATTATAAAGTAAAAGGACATTTTTAGAGTAAAAAAGAAACGTTTTTGGTTTTACAAATAGTAAATCAAAAATTTTTGAAATTAAAAAAAAGGGAGAATTATTGATTGAACAACATTCAGGTGTGTTCACATAAAATTTTAATTTCTTTTATATAAATTATTTTCAAAGCAAAGTGTATTATCCGCTAGGAATACATTGTCTGTCCTGGCCGTATACGGTGACTATAGTCACCTATATTTAACTACTTTTTTATATTATTTAACTTATCTACAGTGTAGATTCTACACACTACCAAAGCCAAATTAATTGCATTTTTAACTACGAATTTTGACAACCGTTCAATGAAACCTACAGATAAAAAAAAGAACTTTTGAAGAAGAAATTTTTGATAGTTTAATTTAAATTATTCAAATTGTATAAAAAATATCTAAAATGAGTGATTTTATAAAAAAGAAGGAAAAAGCAAATAAAAAAAGTGGATTATTATAGTATTTTATTAAAAACCTTAAATTAAAATTATTATCATATTTTCACCTTCTCATTTTTCTGAAAAACAAAAAATATATATAATTAATAAAGAAAAATTAATTTTATTTATTTATTACTTTTTAGTACTGGGCTCCTTAAGATCTAAAGGTGTGGCTGCTCTCCTGGGTCTAGCAGAACTAAAAAAAAATATTTAAAAGTTGAACTTTAAAAAACTAATGTTGTAAGCATAATTACGTTATAATAGGGGATGATATTTGATTTTGTTTGGCCTTTGTGGGTGATTTCCCTGTATTAGTTCTAAATTATATAAAAAACAATATATTTGAATTTATTATTATAGGTAACTTACTTTGCACTTGTGTCATGCTTTTCAATTTTTATTTTGACATTGACAATATCCTTTACTGGACTTTCTGATATGATTTCTTCAATATTGAGTCTCTCCAGAATTACTTTAAGAACAGGTCGTTTCCCTTTTGATCTGTAAAAAAATTGTACCTACACAAAGAAATATTACAATTAATAAGCTTACATTGCTTTATTTATGGGAGAGCCATATCTTGTCTTTCTAGGAGTATAGGACTCGTTTCTAAAAAAATAACATGTAAATAAAATTGACAACATGATTTTGTATTGAACTCACGTAAGCCCTCGACGTTTCGTTACGTATTTAGATCGATCAGTATTGTTTAAAGTGGAATTTTCCGGTTCACTATCACTTAAAATCCTTTTTGCCCCCCTAGTCTTCCTGAAAATTGGGGAAATGGGGGTGGACCTTTAAAAAAACAAACATGAGAAAATTATTAATCATTACTTTCTACAGAGATCATTTTCGGTAGAAATTTCGACTTACGTTTGAAAGCTTGTATGCGATAATCTGCTCCTGAAATCATAAAATTATGTGTAAAGGTCTAACATTCTTTTCTTTTGCGTTGTAATACGTACTGTTTCAATGTTGAACTATGGGATGCCCCCAAATCATAACTTTTACTTGAAGACATCTCATCAACTATTGGGGACTTAAAAAGATTAAAAAGTACAAAATGTATAATAGTATTGAAATATTGTACAGATAATAATAATGCACTAAACTAATTTTTGTATAAATCTGAACTTAACTAAATGTATATAATAATGACCCAAATTTTATTACAACTGTCTAAAATGACCTTAATTGTATAAGAACTGTCTAAATTAATTCAGACTGTATCAGAATGCTCTAAAATAATCCGAATTGTTTTAGAACTGTCTAAAAATGTACCAAAACTGAATAAAAACTCAAAACTACAAAAATTGTATTAGAACCTTCTAGAATGACCCAGATTGCATGTGAACTGTCTAAAATGACCCTAACTGTATTAAAACTGTCCAAAATGATTCAGACTGTATCAGAACTCTCTAAAATTACCCTTTTTGTTTTAGAACTGTATTGTAGTTATTGTAATAAGTCTAAAAACACCCCAATGGTATTAGAACTGTTTGAAATAACCCTAATTGTATAAGAAGTGTCTAAAATGATTCAAACTGTATTTTAATTCTCTAAAATAACTCATATAGTTTTGGAGTGACCCAAAACTGCATAAATTACCCCAAATCAATAAAAAAATTACCCAAATTGGATCCCAACTGTTTAATACTTCTGAAATGCATTAAAACTGTCTAATATGACTTCAATTGTATCAGAACGGTCTAAAATGACCTGAATTGTATTAGAACTGTCCCAAAACTGCATAAAATATCTCCAAATAAATGATATGAATTCTATACAAACAGTCTAAAATGATTTAAACTGTATAGGAATTCGCTAAAATGACTCATATAGTTTAGAAATGTCCAAAAATGTCCCTAAACTACATAAGATATCTTAAATCTATCAAAAATGACCAAAATTGTATTAGAACTGTCTGAAATGACCGCAACTGTATAATAACTGTATAACGACGTCAATTGCATTATAACTGTCTAAAATGACCCTAATTGTATCAAAACTGTCTAAATGACCCTAATGGTTTTATAACTGTCCCAAAACTGAAGAAAATAACTACTTTAACTATCTAAAACTATCCACACAATTAAAATTAAATTAAATTCTTTAAAATGACCCTAATTGTTTTGGAACTATTTAAAAATGTCCCCAATTGTATTAGAACTGTCTAGAATGATTCAAACTGTATAAAAACTGTCTAAAATGATCCCAATTGCACTAGAACTGCCTCAAAACTGCATTAAATATCTCCAAACTATAATAAAAGACCCTAATTCTATATACACTGTCTAAAATGATTTAAACTTAATAGGAATTCTCTAAAATGACTCGTATAGTTTAGAACTGCCCAAAAATGTCCCAAAACTGCATACAACTTAAATCTATCAAAAATGACCCAAATTTTATTAGAACTGTCTAAAATGACCTCAATTGCATTAGAACTGTCTAAAATGACCCACACCATTAAAATTCTTTAAAATGAACCCAATCATATTAGAACTGCCTCAAAACTGCATACAATATCTCCAAACTATAATAAATGACAATAATTCTATATGAACTGTCTAAAATGATTTAAACTGTATGGAATGCTCTAAAATGACTATATGTTTTGTAACTGTCAAAAAATGTCCCAAAACTGCACAAAAATGACTGTATAATAACGTCTAAAACGATCTCAATTGCATTAGAACTGTCTAAAATGACCCTATTGTATCAGACTGCCCCAAAACTGCATAAAATAACAAAACTTAAAAAATTATCCAAAACTGGAACTGTCTAAAATGACTAAAAACTGTATGTTACTATTTTCTATGACTGTACTTACAATGTTTTCAGCATTTGAACTATTCACACTACTTTGATCTATTACTGAAGGAGTTGCTTCTATTCTACTTTTATTGGTTATGTTACTTTTATTATTTGATGTATATTGTGATTTTTCTGGTGTCAAAGTTACTTCATCCATTGATTCCACAGGACGCCCTTCAGCAAATTTTTTACTTCTCCTAGTGACATATCCATTTATTAATGAGTTGCTAAAAAAAATCAGAAGTAAACATCATGAAGACCTTATTGTACGTTTTTAATGTTTACTTTATCGATGTGTCGAAGTCTTCCAAATCATTTTCGATTCTGTTTAAGCTCATCGACGCCAAAACGCTCATGGAAACGTTGGTTTCGTTTAGGGAGTCCCGTGTGGGACTCTGGGATTCCCCGGACTAAAATATCGACGTAAGTATGGGAAACAAATCGTGTACTTACGTTACATCTTCCTGAATTGCAAACGCCTTGAGTTTTAGTGAATCGTGCGAATCTGTTGGTGATAAGGGTTCAAGCAGGTGGATATTTTCTTCAGATATTCTAGACAATCCTCTGTCATCTTCCCAATTCACATTGCTTTCCTCTTGCCCATTCACATTGCTTTCCTCTTCTTCATTCAAATTGCCTTCCTCTTCGTTATTTGCTTCATCCTCTTCTACAATAAATGTATGAGGCTTAAATGATTTTTCTTTGGCAATTATTTTACATAATCATTAATATTATTAACTAACAACCTATAATAGTTGATGACTTGATACCCAATAATGTGTAGGTTTGTGGTGCACATGTTGCCATAAAAAAATAATTGAAAAAATTGTTTCAAAAATTATTTATCTTTTTAGATTTTTTTGTCGCTCTTTTTAAATCTAAAACGACCCACACTATTAAATTTTTTTTAAATTACCCCATTTGTTTTGGAACTGTCTAAAAAGGTCCCCAATTGTATTAAACCTGTCTGAAATGATACAAACAGTCTAAGATGACCCCAATTGCATTACTACTATCTAAAATGACCCCAACTGTCTAAATTGACCCCAATCGTTTTCGAACTGCCTTAAAAGTGCATAAAATAACTGCAAACTAAAAAAAAATGACTTAAAAATGATTTAAATTTTATAGGAATTCTCAAAAATGACTCAGATAGTCCAAAAATGTCCCAAAACCGTATAA